CAGGTTATATTGAAGTGCCATCTCCCCATCTGCAGGGCTGGCTAGGGGAGGGACTGCTTTGCAGACCCTTGCTGTGCATTGTCCAGTGGAGGCACAGACCCTTTGTAGTCAAGTTCACTGATATCAAACTTGCTTTTTGAAGGTCCTTTCCGCACAACATCACAGGCACAGATTTTCTGTGACTCAGTATCCCTTTGAAGTAGTGTTAGGAGTAGGAGCTCCATTTCGTGCCTAAGTGAATGGGGAGCAGAGGAGCTATCCTTCTGGCAGTGTAAGTTTTGTTGAAACAAAAATTGGCTGTATGTGACCTGAGAGTAATGCATGATGCCTGTTTTGAGAACATATAGGGTTGCTGGCTGTGCTCAAGTAACCTGTAGCACTCATTTTCTGGGAGAGCTATGCTGGAGGACCTCTATGTTACCTCTCTGATAGCAGTAGATTGGAGTTTTGCATATAGGTGTATTTGAAGCTCACTGGAATGGAGTTTGATCCATTCATTCCAACAGCCTGAAGATGGACCAGGACGTATCACACAAGGGCTGAAGCAGTAGAGGACAGAACAGTGCTTACTGCTTGCAGCAGTCAGATTTGCTTTGCTAGAAACATTGAATCCCAAATAGAAAAGCATCAACATCAGGCTGCAATAACACCAGGATGGTTGTTTCAGCACTGAAGCCTTTTCACTGTAAAGAACTAGGAGTCTACTTCCTTCTCTCTGTCATTTACCTTTTTTCCCCTAAGGCTTCTTTATTTTCTCATTGGCTTGACATCTTACCCATCCATCAGTCCAGCACATCCCATTAAGTAGCTTTCCTTGATTGACTGAGATGCTTTTTTTGGCAATGCTTTTAACACTATCTCTTCTATTACTCAGCTACATTTTCTGCATTTTCACTTGTTATTCTTTAGCAGTTCCTGTGTTACTACTATATCTGCTGCCATGTTCCCATCACCTCATTGGGATTTCTGCTGTCAGTTGTTAATGCTCTGTCATTTCCTTGCCTACTCCTTCCTAGTTCTCCTCTGCTTCGTTTTGGCTTATTCTACCATCTTAGTGTCCGTTTCCTCACCTTCCCCCACCCAGAACATCACTCTCGTCTGTGTCCCAACCAAATTAAGGATAGGAAAAAGCATTTCCAGGAGATTCATCCTAACTTAAGGCAGCTGTCTAAGCCAGGTGGGATGAATCACATTGGCACATTTGTATCTCTGCTCGTTAACTATCAAAGTTGAACTAGGATAAACTAGATGCCTGACTAACAGAGAGTTCCCTGTAAGTGCGATGAATCTCATTCTTGTACACTGCCAGGACTTAAAAGCACTCAATGATAAGAGAGCATGTGATGCTACATTAAAATGACAGCTAGAAGAGCAATTTAGGAAGCTGTTTTCATTTATAGGATTTGAATAGTTGCGTAACCCACAGCAGCAAAGCTGTTTAGAATTAGCATGTTTCTGAATCACCTTTTCGTTTGATAGTGCCAAATTCCAGCTGCAAGCTGACCTTTTAATCCAAATATGGCTTTCACAGAGTCATACATAAATACAGCCACAATGCATCAGTATGTTAAATGCATAATGCTATTCTCAGAAGATTGAAAGAAATATTCCCACTTCCATCTGCCTAGCACATCCTGAGGCTGCCAGGTATTTCAGAATTAGCATAAATAGTGGTCTAGATGTGCTCTGGCTGTTTGTACTGAAAGGGATTGTTGCATTCTTGACACAGGCTTATTTCATTCTCCACAAATGGAACCTGTGAGAATAAGAAAAGTAACACAAGGGCAAAATAAAGAGCTCTGTAAACGTTTACCTATTTTCTTCTGATGTATGGTGGCTTTACTGGCTTAACTTGCAGACACGGAGACAGACCCAAGGCTATAATAATTCTTGGGTCATTTTGTGCCGATTTCATGAGGTCAGTGAGATACTCTGGAGTAACAAGGTTTTGCTACACACTTTGTAAGGTGAGATATTAATGTAAATCTCTCTGGCTCTGTTAGTGTGAATGCTGTAGCCAGTATTCACCCAGTACAGAAGTGTTGTGTGACCTGGCTCAGTTTGCAGCATAGCTACACAAATGTGGGAAAAGACCGAGCTTGGGCTTACTGTGCATGAGCTGCCTTAGTGTAGCTGGGGGCATGCTTGTGCTTACCTGGGGGCACTTTGTGCTTGCTGTGGGTGCGAACCGGCAGCTGGCACAGAGCAGCTGGAGCACTGTAAATCAGTACAGTGATAAGTTGGTCCTGCAGCCATATGCTCAAGTACGTGTTGGTGCTGATAGATAAGAGGTGAGGGGATATCTGTGTTCATCCTGCAGATAGCACCAGCTTAGTGTAGTAGGATGTGTGGCTTGATCATGCCCTGCAGACCTACTGGAAAGTTGGCTGTATAGACAAGCCCAGCAGGATCATGCCTTATGTCCATATCCCATGGCTTTGGATGTTAATATCCATACACCATTAGAAAAAATTGCAGTGTGGATGTATCATTAAAATAGGTAAAATCATGAAGGTGCACTGACCCTGACAGAGTGGAATTCAGCATCTTACGTTGAAGAAACAAGGCAGTGAGTAGGATTGCAACCCTGGACAACATGATAGCCAAATTTGACCTCTTCAGGGATCTGCTTGGAGTTGGGATCTTCCATGGGTTGGAACATTGGAAGTAAGGAAGCCCAAGAGAGTTGGCTGACATTCAAGCACCACTTCCTCCAGACTCAAGATTGGTGCATCCCTAACAGTAAGAAATCAGGCAAAGGTGGCAGGAGATCCACATGGATGAGCAAGGAGCTCATGGAAAAACTCAAATGGAAGAAGAAAGTCAATGGAATGTAGAAAAGGTTTCTAGCCACTTGAGAGAACATGGCAGACTGGTGAGGCCACATTTGGAGTACTGTGTCCAATGCTGGGCTCCTCAGTTCAAGAAAGAATGGGAAGTTCTGGAGTCCAGCAGAGGGTCACAAAGGTGATGATTGGCCTGGAGCATCTCCCTTATGAGGAAAGGCTGAGAGACCTAGGACTGTTTGGCCTGGAGAAGACTGCAAGGGGAAGACTGCTTATAAAAATCTAATGGGTGACAGTCAACTAGATGCAGTCAGGCTCTTTTCAGTGTTGCCCAGTAATGGGAAAAAGGGCAGTGAGCACAAACTGAAAGTTCCGTATATTCTTGAGGCAAAACATCTTTACTTGTAAAGGTGACAGAGCACTGGAATAAGTTGCCCAGAGGTGTTGTGTAGTCTGGCGATATCTTCCCTGGAGATATTCAGAACCCACATGGATGCTTTCCCATGTAACCTATTCTAGGGAATCTAGGGTTGGACTCGGTGCTCTCCGGAGGTTCCTTCCAACCACTACGATTATGTGAGGTTTGACTGATTTCTGTATCTGAGTAGTTGAGTGCTAATTCTGCATTTTCTAAACGGAAGAGTGGAAGAGATGGGAAAAATAATCTGAAGCAGGCAGGAGCAATAAAACAGTCAGTGGTTTGGACACAGAAGATGCACAAAGAGTTGGAAGGAGAGGAGGTGTACAGCTCTCTTCTGTGTGTGCATACACAGCTGATTTCTAAATATGTATTTTATGTGCTCCCTGTGTTCACTTGAAAATCTGCTAATGTTTCTAACTTAAAAATGAGTCTCAGAGTGAAGTGCTTTCTTTGTGGGTTTTTTTTTTTTCTTCTGGTGGATCTCCTGGGAGTTTAGATGATACATATGATAAATCTTTCACCTTGACAGAAAGAGAGGCAAGTGTTTAATATTTAACCAAGGTTGTCTTTCACTTGAACGTCTATCTATAGGGGAGTGCATTACAAATAAGTAAAATTGTATTTGTTTTTGCAAAGATGAGTGTTTGAGAGGAGAAGGGGATTGCATTTCCCTAAGGAACAGGCCTCAACTACTCTAGAAGATGAGATTGTTTTAAAAATCAATCAAATTAAGCCTGTGTTACAGTGGGATAGCTTGATACTTGCTTAAAAAGAACCAGAACCATCTGGATGCCTACCTGTGCGACCTGGTGTAGGGAACCTGCTTTGGCAGGGGGGTTGGACTCGATGATCTCTGGAGGTCCCTTCCAACCCCTACAATTCTGTGATATTTAAGCACAGTAGGTGTACCAGTGAGGTACAGCCGGGCAAATTGTAGTGCTTGTGCTCTCCATTCTGCGCCTGGCTCCTCAGTCTGCACCGCGGAGCAGCTCATCTGTGTTTAAGTCGTGTTACCTTCCCTTTCGCTGCAGAAATCGGGCTGCTAACCAGTGTGCTGAATTCCAAGAGCCCCCGTCCAACACACTTGTTGCTAAAGAGTCATTTTCCACTCTCTGCAATCTCCTGTGGGATAGATGAGGCCACGATAGATGAGCGTTTACAGGATTACTTCTACTTACATTGGAAACAAACTCCCACGCTGCCCATGCCATAGAAACTCAGCAGTTCTTTCTGAAACAGCATGTAAATGTTTAAAGGCATGGTCCAAACTTTTTTTTTTTTTGCATGAGCCTTTAATAGATGTAACCTCTCTTACAGATCTGCTGTAGTGCAGGCAGGGGGAGAGCTGTGTGTCACAGTTTCTTAACTGTACGTGTCTTAATGAAGTGTGCATTTGCTAATCATTCCTATAATAGTCTATCTCACCATGCTACTATGCTACATAAGCAATCTATAGAAATATACTTACTGAAAGAGTGCCAAACACCACACACCTTTAAAACAAACATGAAAGCAAGAACCATTTTTTCCATGACTTTACATTTCTTATAAAAACATGAATAGAGCATTTCTGGTAGGGCGGAGGTGCCTACTGGAAGAGAGCTGGAGCTCTCACAGGAAATGAGTAGGCCTTTGCAGCCTCCAAACGCTTACCCTGTTGGGCTCAAATCTGCAAGCAACCGTTGCTTTCAAATGACTGTTACAGAGGATTAACGCGTAGGCTTCCCACCAACACTTACAGCAAAGCTTTCTAGGAATAGTGCAGGAAATCACGCTCTGCTCACCTCTTGCAGATGCGCACGACCCGTAAGGTGTCGGTGTGGCCTGTGGGGCTGGTCGGGGGACGGCGGTACGAGCGCCCGGTTGTGGAGAACGGCAAGGTCGTCGGGTGGTACACGGGCTGGAGAGCTGACAGGCCCTTCGCCATCGACATGGCCGGTAAGTGCTAAGCTTCATGCTGTGTGAATGACAGAAAGCTCATCGTGCCTATTCTTACATTTTTTTGTGAGCGGGGTGGAAGCATACATCCCTGGAGGCATTCAGGGCCAGGCTGGATGTGGTTCTGGGCAGCCTGGTCTGCTGGTTGGCGACCCTGCACATAGCGGGGGAGCTGAAACTAGGTGATCATTGCGGTCCTTTTCAACCCAGGCCATTCTGCGGTCCCAGTGTAAGCAGATTTTAAAGCTTCTCAAGCGTATCTGCTGTTCATAGTGCTATAGCATTAAATATCCTAGAAGTCTTAGTTTGCACACCTCATTTAATTAAGTTGCTTCTTGGTGATGGTGCAGCTTACTTTCACTTGCTTGTAATCGCATGTGGCAACTTGGCTTTTATGTTGAATGAATTGTTTTTCTGGAATGAGTTAATTGTAAATCAATTCATCCAGTTAATTTTTGCAGGGAGCCTTGCCTTGCCTTGAGTCATCCGTCTACAGCCGACAGTATAAATGGAGACCCTTCTTAGACCTCATGTTGTAAAACGCTACTTTATCATGACATAATTCATTGTTTTATTGGCTATTTGGAGTGATGGTGATAACTGTAGATGGATATAGTATGAAATGCTGGGCTTAGGGGGAAAAAAATCACTGACAGCTATAGCGTAGCAGAAGGCAGAAAAGCTTCAAAATTGATCTAATCAATCTTCCACTGGGAAGCTGGCACACCATGCAGCTCTGTCTTGCTGTCAGTCCATGCTTAGGCACTCTTTCCTGTATATTCACAACTGCCACATGAATCATCGCTGTGCCAAATTTTGATTTCTAGTGCAGCAGCAGTTGGTTTCCCAGTATGATGCAGCACTTCAGCAGTTTTGAAATAGGTTGCTCTGAAAGTAATGCCTCCTATTTATTTCCATGAAAACTGTAACTAGGAAAGAGCTGAAAACTGCAGCTAGAAAGAGCACAATAATGCTGTTAGATAAAGTAAATTCTCTGCTGCGAAACAGTATTTTTCAACATAGTCACTATCATTAGCTATGCATTTTGGCCAGTGATGAACAAGAGCCTGCTTGCTGCACTCACAAACATCTGCATGGCCATTGAGAATGTGGCTTGTCTTTCATGTTGCTGTCACCATTGCTGAAATGCACCACCCACCTCCTCACTGTGGTCTCATTGACTGTTTGGTCTCCATAAATGTTCAGCAGGCGTCAATGAATGTCAGTGGGTGCCATTTTTCCATATGGAGGAATTCATTGACACACCTTTACTTCGTAGGCTCTTCTGTGTCAGATTCCGTGTTTGCCGCATCACACAGCAACAACGTGGAACAGAATACTGGTGGGAAGTTTCAACCTCTATTGCCATAGCACCAACATGTGCCTCCCACACTGTGGGCTAACATAATAAAATAGGAGGTATTACTTTTGGAGCAGTCCCTGGATATTCATGGAGAAGAGGGATGGGGAAAAATACAGGAACGAGAATGGGATAGAATTAGCCAGCAGTTTTCATTTTTTTGAGACCTTTATGTCTTGGGAGTGGAAAAAGGACAGAGCTTGAGGGTTTTCTTTTTTAATGGATTGAGGCGTTCCATGAAAAGTGGTGAAGTATCAACAGGTGAATTTTTCTACATCATAGAAACCATTCAGGTTACTGGTATTCCTGGCATGAGAGCATTGGGGCATAGAGGTAGAGGTAGTCCTTGGGGGGAGATTGAATTCTGCCTGTCCCTACGATCATGCTTCTGTGAGAATAGTCTGCATGTGGATTATAGATACATATCCTGTGCTGCAGAAAGGCATTATAAGGATGATAGCACGGTTCATAATTTATTAGCAGCAGACAAAAAGCCATTATGCTACATTAGGCAAGGGACAAACCCTCATCGGAGGAGATGTGAGGAAAGCTCATGTCATCTTTGCTTACAGTTTGTAGTTGCTGCTGCAACACTGGCTCATGGGAGAGGCAGCTCTGTGAGCATTACCTGCTCCTGTACCTGCAGAGGTCTTGGAAGGGACTATGGAGACAGAGGTACAAGGGCTGAAAGTATCAGAAATCAGTGTAGAATCACAAATAAGAAGGTGCTGCTTTGGAGAGAACTTTATTAGTCCAACAAATAAAACAAACATTTGAATTACATTTTGATATCGTTATTTCAGTAAAAAGGGAAAGCACATGAACTTCTTATTCTAGACTTGAAGGCATGCGGCCAAATTTATATCGCCCATGGGGGGCGATCACATGGGGCAGTTCTGCTGATTTCATGGGAATCAGCTGAGACCCTTGCTAACCAACTTCTGGATTCTTCTTTGAAATGTCACATTTTATCAGTGAAGAAAACATAGTTTATTTCTTTCTAGAACTTTGTGGCTGACACAGTTATTCCCCAGTGCTAAATTGCATTCAGAAAGCAGAGTAGCTGTTTCCTGTGTTCCTTATTGTCAGGCAACCACCAGAGCATACAGATGAGTTCTGGTGTTTTTAAAGTACCGCCTGAGTTTTAACAGTAGGTGGTTTGCAGAGTGTGAGGAGGAAGGGAGGAAAAGAGAAAGAGAATTGGGTGTTGTAAGCAAAACATAACACTGAGTTTGAGCGAGTAGGAAAAGGGGGTAAGAAATGACTGCAAATGTGTTGAGAGCATTTGGATTTTAGAGCAGAGGGAGTGCGGCTGAGGGTATGGGGCCAAGGGGAAGGAGGAGAAAATGAACAGTTTGCCTGGAAAACAGACATCTGAGTGCACACTCAGAAGAGGAGGAAGGGGAGTAAATAATTATTTGGTTGTTGTTCCTCTTGGCTCTGCACACCAGAAGCAAGGGAGAGCGGGGGGAATAGGATGGAGCTGCATTTTGCTCTCGCCTCCTGTGAGAGTCTGACTCGTCCCCAGAACTCTGTGGTACCACAAGCACCCCTTGTTTTCCACAACACAGTTAAATGTTTCCTTGCTCAAGTCTGAGTACCAGGGCTGTGTGTGTCTGTGTTTTCAGTTCTGGCCGCAGCAAGCAGGGCTCAGCATCTGCAGCATGAGCTGTTGTCTCATCTCTGTGCATCCTCTGCAGCTGATTTAAGGAGCGTCTTCAGTTATATAAAACACAAACCTTAAGTAGGGAGGTTGGTGTGGCAGCAAAGTCAAAACTATTTTTGAACTTCTAAGGTAAATTCTACCTACCTATTTATTTGTTTTTAAGAGAATGGTAAATGATATTTCTTTTTGGTTGAAATTCAACTTTACTTATTGCTTTGGAAACATATTACCTAGATCTGCTGAAGAAATGTTTTTGTAGTTCTCAGTAAAAACAGCACTTGGCTGGATTCTGCAATAAATATTATTGGTGCTTTTAGCTAGGCTATGATAATATTTTATTAAACAGAGCTAAGCAAATTCTGTATCCATTACATGAAAGTAATAGGAGTTGGGCTCTTGTATAACACAAAGAAATTCATTTAAGAAAATGTTCTTTAAGATACAGACAAACATTGCCCAAAGGTTAGAAAGGGAAACAAACTGTCTATTCAGATGTGCAGTCCTAAGGCTTTAAAAGTATTATTAAAATATGGGTTAAACGTGAACTGAGGAAAGCTAGTTTTAAAAAAAAAAAAAAGTTTGTTATACTACCATGTCAGAAAGTAAGAAGTATGGCAATGAATCATCGCTACGGGCAGGTCTCACTTTGATCTAAGCAAAACATACCCCAAGATACCTTTTGTCACTGGTGTTTCTGTCATAGACTGATCAGAATCTGACTGGGATAGCAGTGAAGCATTTTTTTTCCTGGTGACTCTAGCCAAGGTGCTCTTAATAATAGTAGGCTGACTAAAAATTAACGTGACAGACCCCAGCTCAATCCCCTTTTTATGGGAGTGCCATAGTAAAGGAAATGGAATCAACAATAGTTGGTAGCCTTGATGTAGAACTACCTGAGAAGGTGAGCGGATGGAAGATGAGTAACTTTAAGCAACAGTTGTTTTTGTTGTTTGTTTGGTTAAAAATACACTATACATACCGTATATGGCCAGATAAGTTCTTAGGATCATGAATGGTTTGGGTTGGAAGGGACCTGTAGGACCATCAAGCTCCAACCCCCTGCCACAGCTAGGGCTGCCAAGCGCTAGATCAAGTACTGGATTGCATTGCTCAGGGCTGCATCCAGCCTGACCAAGGTGTTTACCTTGTAAATGGGAGTGTTGTTTCCCATTTTCCAGTCCCCAGGGATTTTGCCTGACAGCTACGACTTTTCAGATAAGATGAAGAGCAGCTTGACAACCAGCTCAGCCAGCTCCCTTAGGTTGCTGGGATGCGTGCCATCCGGCCCCATAGTCTTGCACACTTTCAGTCTTGTGAGTTGGTCTCAGATTTGCTCTGCCCTTATGGTAGAGGGGGGGAGTTTGCTCCTAGTTCCCAGCTGAAGTCAGCCTCCTGTGCTTGTCTTAACCACAAGCTCTGCGAATACTTGAAGTGTCTACAAGAACGTACAGGAACTCCTTTAGACAGATTCTGGACCTAGACAGCCTGATGCAGATACGAGCTCTAATCTGCCATTACACTCTGATATCTGAAGGAATGCAGCCCATAACAAGAACACTTGTAGGCTTTTGGAGAATTTGAAAAATCTCAATGGAATGTCACACATAGAAACAAAAATTTTCAGGTTATCAGCAGCCACTTGGGCAGTTGAAGTGAGTGCACTGTGTTGTTTATTATAGACCTGATTTTAAATCTTCTGCGATGCTTATCGATTTACTTATGGCTTGTTCCCTGTGCAAGAATTGTTACTTTTTTTACCACCCATGAGAACTAGTTGGATCATGAATCTCATAACATCAGGACTGTTCAAGGAAAAGAGATGTGTGCTTTATATTAGCATTCCAGGAGCTGCTTCAGGTGTACAGATTAATCTGTACCTGTGAATCACTGGGCAAGCACATTTTGGAGTCATTCATAGTTCTCTGAGTCCCTCTGCTAGGGCCCAAGCAACCACCTGATCCTTGGATTTTGCAGTAGTATGCCATCTGTGTTACATCTCATCTTTCTCATGATTCTTCTCAGAAAAGAAGCTGTCTATTAATACACCAGAAAACATGGCATATTTTGTCTGAAAAAGCTGCAGAATGGAAGTACAAAGAAATCTTGATTGGCTGTGGCAGATGATAAACTCAAAGCCCCCCCCCAACATCAAAGGATGTAAGAACTTCTTCAGAGATTGCTGGGTTTAACATAGGGAGTCTCTTTCACGGTAAATTAATTGTCAGCAGAGTTCTCTGTTCTGACATATGAAAACATGTGGCTGAGCACCTCTACGGCACTGAACTCAAATGGTACGTTACCTGAAGAGGAAGGAAGCAGACTTCAAGATCATCAGACTTCATGTATGGTTAACAAGTCAAAGGCAGTATCTTAAACTGCATGGGAACCAGCATATCTGTGTCACCATCAGCACTAAGCTCTAGCATTTATTCACTCTGGAAATGATAAAAACTGAAGTTTCTGGCTTGCCTTCAGCTACTATGCTATCTGGAGCATTCAGGAGGCAAAGCTATTAATCGCGGCAACTAAATCTTGAAAGGCTGTCTAACTGGGTGAAGAAAAATGTTTCCATCATTTAACAGAAGCTGTTAATCCAAGACAAAGTGTGAATTAACAGGTTCCAGAGAAAGCAACACGGATGTAATCTTTGCTGTGTCTTCCAGATGCCTCATCCTCCAACAAATTCATTCTTATCGAGGTGGCTCATCAGCCAATTAGATTTCATTTACGGCTTTGCATCAAACAGAAACAGCAAAACAGCGTGTTATACTGTGGCTATAAACTTGTCCTGTGGTATTTCATGTGATTAAGCTTAGCATGACTTTGTAGAAATAGTGTGTGTAGCACTGTCTGCTTATGCTATACTGGAGATGTTACTTCCACCAAGGAATTATGTGAAATTAGCTATTGTCACTGGCCTATTACCATGGGATAATTATGTGCTAGGGGAAGTAACTAGTGCTACTATGGTTAGCCCTGCACCATCTCACCTCTTTTTGATGCCATAATGTTCTGCCTGTGATAAAGTGAACTAGAAGTTGGCACTAGAAGATGGTTTTCATTCAAGTGCTTTGAAAGTTTATCTACATAAATACGTCAATATGTGAAACTGAAGCAGTTGTAAAGCAGTGCTGAAAAAACAGATAGCCAATGGGAGAGGTATCCTTGAACTTCTTTTTTTTTTCAAGTTGCTACTTATTGAAAACCCTAACGATACATAAAGAATGCATGACCACTGATTACAGCAACAAACCTCAGGCCAGTCAGTATGCAGTACTCCATGTCCTTATGTACAACAGCTTAATAATTTGACTTTATTCCGTGCCTGAAAAAGGGAGGATTTTTGGAACCCACATTGTGCCCCTCACAGCCATGTGACAAAGACCTAGACAGCATTGAGGGCCTGTAGTCTGCTGAAGACGACCCCCACTGAGGAAGGGAAGTCCAAATCTGCTGTCATTCTTCTCCCTGCTGGCCCCTGCTAAGGCCAGCCAATAACAGAACCATCATAGAATAGAATCATACAGTCTCCAAGGTTGGAAAAGGCCCACAGGATCACCCAGTCCAACCATCCATCAGTCACCAATAGTTCTCGCTAAACCGTGTCTCTCAACACGATGTCCAAATGTTCCTTGATCACCTCCAGGATTGGTGACTCCACAACCTCCCTGGGCAGCCCATTCCAGTGCCTAACAGAGAACTGCTGGGTGCAGCACTGCTTCTAACAGGTGGGGCAGCCAGCACTCTATTAGAGGAAGTTACGCTCTTTTTTTAAGTTTTTAATTAGAAAAATCTTAATACTGGCTTCAGAATTAAGTACTCTTGCAGTTTTCCGGAACAGATGTCAAAACTGTTGCAAAGGGACAGCTGGAACCACTGTGAACTGACAAAACACCATTTATTTGGTAGACCTGCTCTTAGACACAAGGCTATACAAACGTAATTTTCCTTCACAAGTTTATCAGGCTGACTTTTGAGTCATCCTTAAAGAAGTTTACACGTGACTGAATCCTGCTGAGTAACAACTTCAAATTTCTATAACCAGTGGCAAATTGAAGATTCACAAGAGCTGCTTCAGAAAGGGTGAGCTTGTTCAAATCACTGATTTCTCAATTTAGCTCCCTTTGAGGGACCTAATGTATGTTATTAGGGAGAATGCATTGCAAACAAGCACTGATGAGATCCTCTGATAGTGCTGCGCAACACCTGGATCAGCTACAGACTGTCCTGCAGGTGGCCATTTAGATGAATGGTTCAGAAGTCCCCAGTAGCCACAGGGTGTAGAAGGCCAACATACACCATGCATGAATTGTCTTCCATCAGTAATGTTAAAAATCTCTAAAGACAACAGTTGCTTTGTCTAAGTAACATTCTAATCCTTTTTTTCTGATTCTCACCCTCAAACCAAGAAATACTTTTTCAGTGTGGATTCCGTACATTTTATTTTAGTTAAAATTCAGTTTCATTTCTTAACTAGGAGAAAGGAAAATTCTCTTTATGACAGGAAATTGATGAACTGTTGAAAATCTGAGTGCATCTTCACAGTAAAAGAAAAGAATGCGGGCTGTCCTATCCTGCCAAACACTGTCTACTCATATAACCAATCTTACAACATTTTTAAAAGATGCGTGGTGTTTTGTAGGTTAAGTGTAACTTGCCTACAAAAAACCTGTGTTTTTTCTTAACCATTTTATTCTTCCTTTCTTCAAGGATTTGCTGTGAGCCTTCAGGTGATTCTGTCACATCCAAAGGCCGTATTCAAGCGTCGCGGTTCTCAGCCAGGAATGCAAGAATCTGATTTTCTGAAACAGATAACAACAGTGGAGGAACTGGAGCCAAAAGCAAACAACTGCACAAAGGTACCCATTTATTTTCTAAAAAGGCTCTCAATGGTCTTTGTAGATGACCGTACTAACAAAGTGTTATTTGATAGGTTCTCGTGTGGCACACACGAACAGAAAAAGTCAATCTAGCTAATGAGCCAAAATATCATCTGGACACAGTCAACATTGAGGTATGATCCTGAGACGAGTCACAGTACAGCGGATGCGTTTGGAAAGTGCTCCAATTCAGCCCCTGTAGCAGCCTACAGGTGTGAGGATTTTTGGTCACCCGGTGGACTTCTGTGGAAACAAAAGAAAGTTGTCAGATATTCTGTTAGGCAAATCAAATGGGTGTGCTTTGTTCTAACTTGTTTGCATGCACTTCTGAACTCATCTTAATAAACTGACACTTACCTTTGCTGTAAGGCTGTTTCCACATAGTAAAAACAATCGATCGATCAATCGAAACATGACTGCAATGGAATATTGTCAAAATCATCATTCAGTTTTTGTATTTATCCAGCTTAGTGGTATAATTATAAACTGATTTTAAATCATGAACTGTTGATCTAAATATTTGCATAAATAGATCCTCCAAATGCTTTTCTTCATTAAAATCAGACTTAAAGAAATAGCTGTCAAATAGTTATGCAATAATGAAATAAAAACCCACAATCATTTACGGATTCATCTTTTTAATATAGGGAAATAACATTTTATCATTATGAGGCACCATAAAATGTAAACACAATCACTGTCATAAACCTGGATATTTCTGCAAGGAAAGATGGATCTGTTCACACCAAGTTACCTTGTATGCATACCAGTTCTCAGCATTAATACTGCATACTTGCCTCGTGAGCCCGCTTGGGTGCTTTAGCACAGGAAACTCAAATGGATCAAATGCTCATTTTTAAAAGAATAGACTATTAATTTGTAGGACTAGAGTAACATCCAGGTTTATCTTCCTTTCAATGATCACATTCCCTGTTATGCACACCATAATAACGTCACAGTGAAATGCATGATGAAACAAAATTTGTTTGATACACTAGAAAACATTGCTGTGATACATTTACATTCTATTTATATATGATTAAATATTTGTTCATACAGTACCTTCTACAGGATTACTGGGTAATTTTGGGGGGGATCGGGGTTTATATTTTTGGATATTACTAACATGATAGCTACGTCCCTTAAATGCAAACCATTTGATCTAGAATTTTGAGGGGAAAAAAACAATACATGGTTAAGCAGCTTCTTAAATACATGGTCTATGAAATCATATGCATTGTATGAAAACATTGCCAGTGATATATAAATGTGTTCTTGATCTGCTTTTCACTACATCAAATTTAAATCAATACAGACCACAACACGGTCAGTCAGTTATATTCTTAATCTGAACAGCCTGGGAAAAAGAAAAAGTATGTCCATGGAGAGAACAGCAGAAGTAAATGCATCTGGACAAGGAATGTTAGGTGGCTCTTCTGGGTGAAACTTCTATTGCAACGTTCATTTCCACAGTTGTGTGCTGAGAGTCTGACCCGAGGAGCTTCCAGTCCATCCCGCCACTGTGCTGGGGGGCTGCCCAAAGCCCATCACATTGCTGGAGCTGCTGAGGTTCATTCCAGCCATCTGCTGATTCATCTGTGAAGCATACAAGAGTCCAGTGAGACTGGAGCTGAGAGGCAACAGTTAGCCAAAAAGCAGTACTACCTCCTAAACCAGCAAATCAGTTGCTAAATCAGTTAAAAGATACTGTCCTAAAACTAGTATTTCTCATTAAATAAAAATACTGACTCTAGGAAAGCATCTAAATATTTTTCAGGGCACCAGCTCCTCTAGATCCAGTTTCTGTTCAGGTGATCGCTGTGATACAGCAGCTGACTGGCAGTGTATGAGAAGGCTGTACAGCATTCAACTAGTGAATTCTAGTAGTGAACACAGAGCTTGTGACAAGGGAGCCCGATGTACTTCTGCTGATAGGAGCTCTCTTTCAACTTTCAGAGCTAACCAACAGAATTTTGGCAATTTTACTGAAGAAACATCCAAGCAAGTAGCAAAGCCTTGTCTACATTTGCAACTCCAGATGATGGTTTTTGTTTCTGCAGTATTTCTTTGGAGCCCTCAAAATATCTTGACTGCACCGCTATTTCATGTTGTTTTGTTTTATATTAATTGTCCATTTAGTCAGCAACCAATGACACAGACTTATAAACTTGACTACTCTCTATAAATAGAGGCATATTTTGCTAAAGAAGCTACTCAAGATACTGTGACTTCTTTAAAACGAGTCAAACAGTTCACATGAAATTAAGAAAGATAACTAATTAGAATTTGGAAACAGTTCAGAATTCACGTTCATTGTAAGGAGGATGCTAAAATACTTCTGCTCTCAGAAAACATTATGAATTTGCTGTAAATTTCAGTGCTCAGCATAACAATCTTAAAATAACTGCCTGTTATCTTCTAAAACACAAATGCAGACAAGCCAAAAACCAGTCTGCATAGACAGAGTAAAGATGTCCAAATTCTTAAGGAATCTGAGGGTGAAATCAGTTGGCAAACACAGATGTTCCAGTTGTATAGGCAATATTAGATTGAAGATTAGCTAAAAATGAGAATTCATGTAAACAGGATTGCACAATACCAGGGTACAAAAGGAAACTGTGAAACAACTGGTGAAAAAGTTGTTAAATGACCTGCAAAGTAATATTCCAGAATCAACACCGTGTGCATTCAGACATGTGAAAAGGTTGCAGTAATGACAGCCATGGCCTGGACATGGAGATTAAAAATGCTTCACCTAGTTGTTCATCTCTTTTGAGCAGAATTCTGAAGGAGCAGAGTACATAAAGCAAGCTGTTCTGGGAAGTAAACATGCTCTCCCACCTTAGAACTGAAGCATGCTTCCCCTAGCAACTGTGGGATATCAGCATAATGATAATATTATGTGATATGCAAGTAGTACAGAAGTGTTTAAGACTTTGTCTTATGAGCCAGCTTTTAATACACATAACAAGCAAGATTTTTATTTATGGGACCTTTTTAAAGTTAGGCACCTTCAAAAAGATCTGTGGACTACTGTCCTTAGATATCTTTCATGTGACATTTTGAAATTCTCACCTTTAAGAAACTACTTTTCAAAGTGGAGAACAGTCTGTGTTTTCAGAGAGAGGCTATTTTATCTATGTAAAAACCCACACAACTGCTCACACCACAAATCTTAATTAGTATAGCTAAGTCATTAAGGTACACTTCATGAATCAGTAGAGTAAGCAGCATGCAATTATTGTGTGGTTCATCTAGTGAAAAAATCTGAAAAAAAATCGTTGCTCAAGTTGACTTTTTTAAAAATAAGCTCCCAACTACATGATTTTAGGATGTTTCCTTGGATAATGTATCAATATAGTACTAAGCATACATTAATGCTTCTAGAAAACCTTTTAAACATGTTTAAGAAATAAAAGCGTGGAAATGCTACAGATAAATAATAGATGACTCTAAGCAAATTATCTACAGTAGCACATCACAGTGCAGAAAACTGCACGTTCCACTGAAATCTATCTCGAAGCTTGGAAATGAAAGTATTAATTGTTAATAGCCATCCTTGAGCCATTCAATTCTGTTCTTAGTTACACTGCTGTGTTTACGCTTTGGTGTGGCATAACTAAAGTGAAGCTGTTTCTTTACCTAATTCAGATGCCAGGTTGAGACTGGCTACAGCAGCAGAAAACTGAGTTTGGTCTCCCTCAGCAGAGTTTATTCTGTGCTTATATATTGGTTATCTTTAATTTATTTCTTCATTGATTTTCTTCCTTGCGTGTCTGAGCAATTCATAGTCCAGCAGTCTGTAACTTGGCTCCACTGCAGCTTTCCTCCTACAGCTAGGCAGTTTGTATCTGAAAGGGAGATGTTTTTTCAAACACCCTGATCTGGGAATAACGAGCATTTACCTGGGTGAGGTTCCATTGAGCTTGCTGATTTTGTTGCAATCCGTACTTATTCTGCGGAGTAACCATTTGTCCCACCATTCCACCTTGAGGTCCAACGACATTCTGAGGAAGTCCTATCACACCAGTTTGTGTCGTACCAGTAAATCCATTGGGCATTCCCATTCCTACCATCACCCCTGTGCTCTGCCCCATGACTGGCACCGATTGTCCCATCATGCTTCCCATCATCCCGGTGGCTGCAGGCACAGGAACTCCCATGGCTGGGAAACCTTGAAAATGAGTCGATGGCTGTGTGGTGAATGGCATAGTGGAGGAGCCCATGAACATACCTGGATCCGAGAAAGGAAGACTTCAGGGAAAGTGCTTTGTGATCTTCTCCCTCCCCCCCAAAAGCATTAGGTGCATCAAAACAATTTTAAAGGATAACTTTGTCCAGCTGTATGTCAGTGCTGTTAGTTTAGTTCCTGTAAAATCTCTCACCAGAAAAGGATTCACCACCATAGAGAGAGTTTGGCAAATCCCTGAGGTAAGTGGGTCTTTAATCACTGTACTAGAAGTCTGTTTTCCTACAAACACCGCAGAAATCAAACCTGACAGCTCTGCACTCACCCCAGTGGCCTGCTGCAGAGGCTCAGACCCTAAGCAATGAGTTGCGCAGCAGGAGCTGAATTCACAGATCTGTCAGTTACATGCACCCTTGATTAAATAATCACACACTGTTTTGTTCTATAGCTTTGGTATTAACATTTCAGTAATCTTCCCATGTTTGTAATAGTAAAAACACAGTTCATTTGAATACAATGGCAGTGTGCCCCCACCTCTGTCTTATACTTGTAGGAGACGATGGTATTGCTGGGCAAAGCATAAAATAGAATTTCATCATAAACATGTGCCAAATGATTTACCTGGTGCACTCTGCTGTTGCATGGTTCCTGTGCCATACAGTGACAAGATGGAGTCCTTGGAGAGCTGTTTCTTTGCCGACTCTTCTGATTTTGTTGTTTGCTCAGTGAACAGATCGAGATCTCCTGCTGCTGCAGACAAGGTGGCAGCTGCTGGTTTGGCAGAAGTGCTCTGGGAAATAAAGGTCAGGACAGAATGCTGAGGGAAACCAGCAACATTGTTACATTAAGTATTTACTGCACTCCTCATCCCAGAACCACACAAAAACCCATTCATTTACTGAAAATAAATTTAAGTGAATGAGGATCTGCCAAGATGCAGTATCACCTAAGACAGCAGTACATACAATAGGGAAAGAACAGAACATTGGGCTGAGGTTACAGAACCAAATTAAAGCCCTGACCAACTCCAGAGACTACACACAGATTGTTCCTTCCTGCTGCTCCTACATCTTTATCAGTGAGCAGCAAAAATCCTGAGCTATAGCCAGATTATGGAAAATAATTAGGAAATCAACAAGGAGATTACAATTCACATCTCATTAATCCTCTCATAAGCAGAATAAATGAGAGGAGCTAACACAAAAGATGTGGTGTTTTAGACACTTCAGCTAAGGGGATAATATTTTTGGAAAAAAGGCAGAAGTAAAATTTCAACTGATAAAGTAAACAACTTCTAAAATACAGTGTAATTGGCTTAGAGCTCTGTAAGCACACTTGCTTTATTAAGAAAACGTGATGATCTCCAGCTTACTGCATGCCAGGATTGAGCTACTACAGTACACTCAGGCTGTCAGGCTCTCTATTGTTCAACTTGTTTTACAACCAAGCTGCACCCAACATTTGGCTGCTCCTGATACACATATACTTCCATAGTGCTTAGGCAAAGAAGCAATACATTGTATTCCTGTGATATTCCTTGAAACAAATGAGTCTTGTTACCTGTGGGAACTTCCAATCCAAACTAACCTGAGGCGCAGGGAGAGTTACGGCCTACCGAAACGGTGCCACCTGGTTGGGGACACGGTTAGGGGCATGGTGGTGTTTAGGTTAACAACAGAGGAGAAAACTACTTGCATTAAACCACAATGAGGAGCCTGGCTCTACAGCCAGATCCACCTCTGCTGCCATCCTACAGCAGTCAGACCAGAAGCCACCCCGAAACACGCAGCTGCTCTAGCACACCTCTGCTCCTGCTTACAGCAACAGCCTCGCTGCTCAGCC